AAAAGGCAATTTAAGGTGGAGCTGGTGATCTGTAATCCTAGTGCTTAGAGGCTAACAGGATTGTGAGTTCCAAACAAGCCTAGGTTACATACATAATGAGACCCTGCTTTAAGAAAAAGAAACCAGCTGGGTGTGGTGGTGCATACCTTTAATCCCAGTACTTGGAAGGCAGAGGCAGGCTGAGCTCTATGAGACTGACAAAGGCACCCTGGTCTACATAGCAAGTTCCAGGTTAGCTGGGGCTATAGGGGACCCTGTCTCAAAAAACTTGCCAAGCAATTCTGTTATTTTCTCAGGGATTACACGAACACACGTTTTTGCCTCCAGAAGTATGTTGCCTTTAAAGCAGTACATACATGTGATTGAATACATTTGAGAAATAAGTCTCCCACCCCTGGTCTCTTTCACCCAGTTTTCTTCTTCAGTGAAACTTGTATTGCTGAGTAGTTTTGTGCCCCTCCAGGATTAAAAAAACTTTATTTTTAATGCAATCATTGACATTTGAATTTTCTTCTTTTTGTTTCTTATTTTATGCATATGAGTATATTGCCTGCATGTATGTGAGTGCACTCACGTTGTGCAGAGCCATGGAGGTCAGAAGAGTGTTTCAGATTCCCCTGGAACTGGAGTTAAGAACGGTTTGTAGCTGCCATGTGGGTGCTGGGAATCGAACCCAGGTCCTCTACAAAAGCAGTCAGTTCTCTTAACCACTGAGCCATCTCTCCAGCCCCTGACATTTGAATTTTCTAAATGTTCAGCTACCAGGGTAATCAAGTAACTGTATTCAGATTTTCAACTTTATTTTCTGATTTTTTCATTTGTATCTCTTGTCTGGATAAACAGAATAGTTACGGAGAAGTAATTTTTGTGGGGGGGTCTTTTTGAGACAGGGTCTCCCTGTAGCCCCAGCTGCCTGAAACTCACTATGTAGACCAGGCTGGCCTTGAACTCGCAGAGATCCTCCTGCCTCTGCCTCCCGAGTGCTGTGGAGAAGTAATTTTGAACCCAAATTATGTATGATATTCAGAAGAGGGCAGTTCTCCCTCCATTTATGCATGGGGCGAGTGGTAGTCCTTGTGGTCCTCCAAAACAGAGGGGGTCTGCCTTTCAACTTTGATAGCCTGTTTTTGAGTCAACTCACTCAGTTCTTAGGGATGTGACTCTACCTTTTTTATTGCTTCCTCATGTGGGAAAAGCAGTGTTGCTTTGTGAGTACTTTCACAATACAATTTCTGGCCCGTTGAAATAGTGTGAAATTTGTAAACTATAAAGCATTGGCCATGAATATAGTTTATTTGAAATATTCCCACATGTTCCATGTCTTCACTTTCTTTTCACAGTTTTCAAGAGAATAAATGTTAAATTGTAGGTGTTTAATTGTACTGTCTACCTTGCTTAGAAAAAGTTCCTGCTAGGCAGCATTGTGTAACATGTAATGCATTTTATTCAAATGTATAACACTTATTTGTAAAATCAATTAGATCAATGAAACTATAAATGCAGAGTAGAACTTTGAGGTTATAAGTAATAGATGCAGTTTTATCACTGAGGCATGCAATTACATTATATGTTCTGGTTCTGTCTATAAATTGTTAAAGTGTGTGGGTTGTGGTTATACTATAAAATACTTTGAAAGGCACTTTGTAATACCTTTGACCTTATATCTGATGCCCATATTGATAGTTCTTGAGTTTTGAAAGATCTCGTGTTCCTAGCATTATAATATCCAAAGCCCATTTATGTATATGATACATTCTGACATGGAACTTTTTAAAAATATTTTTATTTTGTGTGTATATGATATATGCGTATGTATGCACATTCGTGTATATGAATGCTGGTGCCACAGGGAGTATCTGTGAAGGTCAGAGAAAACCTCAGGTATAGGCTCTTGCTTTCCACTTGTTTAAGACAAGGTTTCTGTTGTTTTCCACTGTGTGCCAGGCTGGCTGGATCACAAGTTTCCAGGGCTGTGCTTCTATCTCTGCCTCCCATTTCCGCTTAGGAGTTAGGGAATTACAGATGTTCACACTGTGTCTGGCTTTTATATGGGCTCTGGGGATTCCAACTTGGGTCCTCATATTTGCGCAGCAAGTGTTTTTTATTACCCACTGAATCATCTTCCCAGCCCACACAGGACATTTTTATCATTAACTTCAGAGAAAACACCTACCTACAACAGGACTTTTTTTCCTTTATAAAATTCCTATATTATACCCAGATTAAAGAGTTCCTGTAATTTTAATTTTTAAAAATATTTTATTTTTATGTATATGAGTGTTTTGCCTCCATGTACATAATTGTACCACCACATGTGTGAGTGTAATACTCACAAAGGCTAGAAGAGGGTGTTGGATCCCATGGAACTGGAATTACAAGTGTGAACCCCTATGTAGGTGGCTGGGAACTAAACTCTGGTCTTCTACAAGAATAGCAAGGGCTCTTAAACTGGTGAGCCACCTCTCCACCCCCTCTATAATTTTAATTTTTAATATTTAGTGCAAAAGCACCATTTTTACTTTTCTTGTGCTATGATTTATTGTATTGGCTCTGGGGAGAGACTCATTATAGCTACAATAATAGTCATAACCACTTCATTTTCTTAGTATCCTTAGTCTGTTTCCAGCCTTAACTGAAGCCATTCCAGTTTGCTCACATTATTTCTACATGACTAACTACATTCTGGGAAGATTATAACTGTTCAGGACAACATTTAACAGTAGTATTCCACTAGCTTCCCTTCCTTCCTGTAGTAGAGCACTTCCAGGTGTATGGTCCCCACTGACAATATGGTAAATACACTTGCATTCAAGGGACCTGTAATAGGCATTACCATATGAGGACTGTAGAGAGGTGACACAGTAAGATACCAGTTTGGGGTATCTTATGTTACTTGAACTCTTCTCTTGTACTTGGGCTAAAACAAACATGTCTTGTCTCTTTTGTTCTATTCTTCCCCCCTCCCCGTTCCTTTTGAATTTGGCTATTTCTATTGGCATATCTTTGAGTTTACTGATCCTGTTTTTGTGCTTACAGTAGATGGTACCAGTCTACTGTTAAATCCATCTAATACATCCTTCAAATATTTCTCAGTTTTAGTTTTTTATATAGAATCTAGGTTCTCTTATAATTCTCTATCAATTTTCTCTTTTCCTTGCTCTATTTATAATTTCATTAAAGTATGTTTGTCAACTCTACTCTCTGGAACACCTATTAATCTATTTTTTAAAGTAGTTTTATTATTTTTATTTTATGTGTATGAGTGTATTGCCTGCGTGTATGTAAGTGTACCCACGTCATGCAGTGCCCACGGAGTGCAGAAGAGGGCGTTGGATCCTCTGGTACTGGAGTTATGGATGGTTGTTAGACACCATGAAGGTTCTGGGAATTGAACCCGGGTCCTCTGCAAGAGCAGCCAGTCCTCTTAACCACTGAGCCATCTCTCCAGCCCCTGGTCTACTATTTTTTAAAAAAATAATGAACACTTCATGAATATCCATGTCATCCTTGCGCAGGGTCCCTGCTAATCTTCACTGTTTTCATTTTAGTTTTAGTATATGTGCTGCCAAATCTAGCATGAGTCTAATACTATAGCCTGTCTAATCTTTTGATTGTCATTCACATTTTCCTGCCCCCTCATATGTCATATAAATTCACTTGTAAGCTGTCACAGCATTAAAAAAATCCACATGTAAAAGAATTGTAGATACTGCAAATGATGGTTTCATGAGAGTGGTCTACCTGTGTCAGGTAGATGGTGAGAAAGGCTGGTTGCTTTAATCTGATTAAGGATTGAACTAGCTTGGGACTGGGTTGCATTTTGATTTGGTGTAGTCTAACATTGGCTTATACCTCATCTACAAACAACTCTTTTGGGGATTTTGCTTGAAAACTTGGCAGGCTGTCACCTAATCCCATAGTCTGAGTATGGTTTAGTAGTTCTTCATTGTCTTTGAACAAGTTTTTTTCTTTCCTTCTGTTAGAACAGGAACATTGGTTAGCTAGGTCCTGCTTATATCTTTCCTGGAGGAGAACTATAACAGATAGAAAAAGAAATAGAAATCCTATGGTATTTATTGAGAGAACACTGAATTGGAAATAACCTACATTCACAATTGAGGTGCAGTAGCATTCCTGTAGGACCTGGAGAGAGGATTTCCTGAGAAAAGCATTGCTACACTTTTTGTTTTTGGTGTGTTGTGCACATGCGTGTGTGTGCTTGTGCCAGGGTGTGCATGTGGAGATTATAGGATAATTGCAGGAATGGATTCTGTCCCTCCACGTGGGTTCTAAGGAACAAATTTGTCATGCTTGGTGGCAGGCACCTTTTTACTTGCTGAGCATTGCTACACTTAAACCACTCACTTATAGGCCATATAAAATATGAGTTGAGGAGAAGGACCGCTTCATAAGAATTTTCCTGAAGAAAGTATTAATCTCTTTTCCTTTCAACTGAAGGTCTTCAGAATGGCTTCTCAGTTTGAGTTGTGTCTGTTGAGGTTTGAGAGATACATAGACTGGCACCTGACACCTATGGAAAAAGCCTAAAAAGTGAGAGACCAGCCAAAGCTATCTCTTAGAACAATGTAGTAAAGAGAACATGTGATAAGTAAAAGGTGCAAGAGTTACCCATGGACTGAATAGACTAGTAAGGTCATTGATGTTGTCTGGTCTTGAAGGGGTCAAAAGACCTAACTGGGTTGGGTCAGCGTGATCTAGACAGAGCAGCCTGAAAAATTAATTACTATAGCTAGAGCACATCAAGAGAGGAGACTCGGTATTTGGTCATTTGACTTTCACAAGGTTCTGCCAGTTTCCTCATGTCAGAGCCCTCTCTTCTTCTGCCAGCCTTGAACTTGACAGGCCTCAAAAACAACACCTGGATAGTGCTGGGAACTAAATGTGAGACAAGAGTTTTGCTTTGGATCAGGCAGAATTTTTAGTTTCTTTTCTAAAGAGATTTGTCATTAATGCATATTGCTGGATGTGACTAGAAAACCCCTGATATCTTTGTGAAGAATGCAGTTTGACAAGAGTTTGTTGTGGGTAGTAATACTGAGCAGTGAGAGGAGACTCACCAGAGCTAGCTTGTTCCATGTTTTATCTTTGTCTTCCTTTGGAACCAAAGGTTCCAAGTTGGGCTGGGGACAAAGGGAAGTACATTGAGAATAGGAGGACCTGCAAGAAACTGCCATTTTAAGGTTAAACCTTTTTTTCCCTTGACTCAATTCTATTTGACCACAGTAATCTGTTAAGTTATCCAGTGATGCTTTATTTTCAGAGAATATTTTATTGTAACCATTTTAATTGGGATTTTTCTATTATACTATCACCCCCCCCCCAAGGGGTGTGGGTATGGGTGTGGATGTATTTAAATACATGTTCAGGTGTGAGTATGCTTGATTTCTCACTGAACTGAAGTTCAACAGTTTCCCTGGACTTAGCTAACTCACAAGTCCCAAGGATCCTCCTTTCTCTGCCTTCCCAGTACTAGGATTATAGTCATCTGCCACTGTGCCTGGGTTTTTATGGGGGGAGGTGGGGACAAAACTCAGGTTGTCCTGCTTGAGTGGTAAGCAGTTTTCCAACTGAACCACCTCCACAGACCTGGGTTAGTCCTTCTTCAAATTCAGTATTCTAGCTCTGCTTTCAGGTTATTGTGGGAAGTATTGTAAAATGGTCATTTTGAAGCTTTTTGGAAACTTTGATCAATAAATGCTTGAATCAGATTTGAAATAAGTAAGATTTCTGGTTAGATTCATAATCCCAGCCTTTTTTTTTTTCTTTTAAAACTATCCTTATCACCCCGCCCTCTCACCCCACCTAGCGTTGATCTGAAAGGAGTGAGGAAAAATTGGAAAAAATCACTGGGATTCAGGAAAAGACAAAGACAGTGATTGATTCGGTGATGCTTAAGAATGATAATCCTGACCATAAGCAAAAGGTGGAAACCATCATTAAAAACATTAACACAATTTCTCTGGAGATGAAGATGAGAGAGCTCTCCAAGTTACAGCTCTCTGACCTTAATCTCCATTTTGGTCAACCCGTGAAGACAGAGGACCCAGAAGAAACACAAACAACCAACCTTCTGTTTCAAAAGCCTGAAATACCAGATGTATCTCTGGCTTCTCGTTTTTTCAGACTGATTTTTGTGTTGTTGTTTAACTTGAATTTCTGTTTTTGTTGAGTTAAAAATCTGGAAGAACTGAGTTTATTACTATAATTAGAAATAATAAGAGTTGGTTGTAAGCAAAAACAAAAAAAAACTATCCTTATCTTTATGCCTTTATCTATAAGAGGATATAATTTCTCCTAACTTTGCTACAGCAGTTTGAGGATGATAGATACTGAATAAGTTCTCCCTATAGCCTCCCCCCCATTAGCTTTTATATGATGGTTTATGGAATTTGCATTGGCAAGTATAAATAATAAGTTAGTCTATACATTACCTAAACATCTTAACCAATGAAAACATTTTTTTCAGCTTCAGATTGCTCCATAAATAGGAGTTTCTATTTGGTGAGATGCTTATTTTAAAACAATCATTGCTACATTATATTTTTATTGTTTTGCATTTATTTACTTTTGGGGGTGTGGAGGTCTAACGTCAACTTACAGAAGTCAGTTCTGTCCTCTACCATGTGGGTCGTGGGTATTAAACTCAAGTCATTGGGCTTGGTGGCAAGTGCCATTGCCCCTTGAGCCACTTATTAGGGTTTGTCATTTGGGATACTAATTTTTGGATTGTTAAAAACTATATATGATGGGGCTGGAGAGATGGCTCAGTGAGTAAGAGCACTGGCTGTTCTTGAAGAGGACCCAGGTTCATTTCCCAGCACCCACATGGTGGCTAACAACTGTCTATAAACTCCAGTTCCCACGGATCTGACGCCCTTTTCTGACCTCCTTAGGCCCAACACCGGTGCACTTACATACATGCAGGCAATACATTCATATACAGAAAATAAAAATAAATGAATAAAATTTAAAAAATAGAAAATAAAGATGAAGGAATGGAGCAGTGTTCTTTCTCTTTGTAGGTGACATGATTATTAGCGTAGGAAATCCTCAGGATTCTATTACAGCTACTAGAACAAATGTGTAAACTCAGCAAGGCTACACTGTACAGGTTCACTGCCTGTCTAAAAATCAGAATTTTCGGGGCTGGAGAGAGCTCAGTTGTTAAGAGCACTGGCCGCTCTTGCTGAGGACCTGAGTTCAGTTCCCAGCACCTACAGAGTGACTAACAACTGTTGGTAACTCCATTTCCAGGGGATCAAATGCCCTCTTCTGACATCCGCAGGCATTGCATGACATAGGTGCACTGGCATGCAGGCAATACACTCCTGTGCATAAAATAAAAATAGTAAATAAAGTATTTTAGAAGTCAATATTTTATAAATACTAGCTCAAATAAAGGGAGGTGATAATAAAAAAAAATGTATGAATTATCAGTAAAACTAAAACACCTAGGAGTACATTTTTCTTTAATGATAGAAGGTTTCTACATCAAAGCTTTGCTGAAAGAAATCAGAGGTAATAATGAGGGAGTTGTGATTCAGGTGTAGTCAGGTATGTGGTTCTCTCAGACTGACACTCCTTACATGACTACACAGAACTAAAGAGGCATAAGGTACTAGAGAAACAAATGGGTGTATTTTGGAGAGCATTTGTCAGTTGGAAGAAGGGAATGGTATCTTGGGTTTTGCTTTTATCCACACAGAATGTGCAAGGTAGCTAAAATTTTGGTGGAAAACCTGCTGCCATGCTAGCCTGAAGAACCACAGATCAGAGTTTTGGCAAATACTGCACTGAAAAGAGAGGAGAATCCCAGCAAGGAGTGAGCTACACAGGGGAGAGCCCCAGATATTTTTACATATTGATGAAAATCACCGGCTGACTGCATGTATGGGACTGCCCCACTAAAGATTTGAAAAAATATATTTTCAGCTTGACTCCAACCTACCAAAGCAAAAATTAATAGTGGAAGAATGTTAACAGAACCTAGAATCCTCATCATGTAACTCCGTGGGTCCAGTATACAATCCTAAATTACTCAAAATACAAAGAACAAAGAAAATATTCTTCCTCTTGAGGAGACCAACCAAGAGACAACTTAAATGTTTAGACTGCCAGAAAATGAGCTGACAAACCATACTTGCTTAGTTGAAGCATTCAATAATACTAAGTTAGGGGCTTAAATTACTTGACTTAAAGAATTACGGTGCGGTACTGCCATAAAGAGAAAGAGACAAATGGCACCGACAACCACAAGTTACCCTCTTGTGGGGGGTTTGAACCAGCGACCCCCGCGTAGTGATGACTGGGGATGAGTAAGCATGCAGTTCCCCAGCCCATGCCGCCCCCACTACCGGGAACACTCAGGCGCAATGGGGAGGCTAGTCAAGCAGGGGCTCATTTATTGCAGGTGTTACAGAGCTTATAAAGACATCTGGAAATCTCCCTCCCCCCTGAGGGTGTATCTTAAGGATGGTCATGTGCTGATCATGCACTCCTTAGCAGTGCTGAAGTATCCTTCAGACTTTGAAAACAAGTCAGGCCGCGCCCCAATAAC